AGTGTCATGAGATCTGATGGTTTTATAAAGGGGACTTTCCCCTAGACAAGCTCTTCTGCCTGCTGCCACGTAAGATGTTACTTTTCTCCTCATTAGCCTTCTGCCATGATTGTGAGGCCTCCCCAGCCATATGGAATCCATTAGCCTCCTTCCTTTACAAATTACCTGGTTTTCAGTATGTCTTTATTAGCAGAGTGAGAACAGACTAATACAATGGGGTATTAGCTCATCAGAATAAGGACGTCAAAGCTGGGCATGGCGGCTCACGCTTGTAATCCCAGCATTTTGGGAGGCTGAAGCGAGTGGATCACTTGAGTTCAGGAGTTCAAGACCAGCCTGGCCAACATCATGAAACCTCATCTCTATTAAAAATGCAAAAAATTAGCTGGGCATGGTGGTACACTCTTGTAATCCCAGTTACTCAGGAGATGGAGGCACGAGAGTTGTTTGAACCCTGGAGGTGGAGGTTGCACTGATCCAAGACCGTGCCACTGCACTCCAGCCTGGGTGACACAGCGAGATTCCATCTCAGGGGAAAAAAAATATGTATGTATGTGTATACACACACACACACACACACACACACACATATACACACACACACATATATATATATATATATATATATATGTCAAGAAAAGAGAGGTCAGGTTACCAGAAGGAATTACTCGGAATGTTTATGTATACAGTAAAAACATCAAGTATTCTGTGATGACAATGAGAAAAAAAGTTCTCATCTCTAAGGAATAAGAAGTTACCTAGAGGTGTACAGATAATTGCCATAAGGAGATGTAGTAGGTAAAAGAATTTGAGGATATGAGCTGTAAAGAAATTGAACATATTTAAGAATAGGAAAGACATATGTTCTAGAAAAGGCAATAAGATAAAAACGAAACAGCCATGGCGCCTCCAGGTCTAGTGGGACATAGGGTGTGTAAGAAGAAACAGCCACTAATTTAGAGGACTGCCGGAAGAGCAATGTCCCCAGGTGACAACTGAGTTCCAGTAGGAAAAGAAGAGAAAGGGAATAATTACAAAGAGAGATATGGGGAATATTGTGAGTAACTGATTATGAATTCCATAGGGCAGGGTGAGGGGGCTTGAGCAACTGGGAAAACTTAAGAGCATAAGTAAGGTTGGGGAACTTACATACGGTGTGAGAGTCCAGACAAAAATGCTTTGGGGTCTAGAGTAAAGAGGTAAACACTATGGTTGGATTATTGTCCGAATTGTCTCTATTACAGGCGGAATTATGTCTCCCTATGATTCGTAGGTTGAAGCCCCAGCCTCCATTGCTTCAGAGTGACCGCACTGCAGACAGGGCCTTTAAAGAAGACATTTGGGTTGGCCCTAATCTAATCTGCAAACCAAGAAGAGTGATTTCAGAAGAAACCAAACCCTCTGACACCTTGACCTTGGACTTCTAGCCTCCAGACTGTGAAAAAATACATTTCTGTTGTTTAAGCCATTCAATCTGTGGTATTTTGTTATGACAACCCTAGAAAATTAATACAGTCTTCTTGGGGAAGGAGAATAACAGTTCTAATTATATCCTCCTTTTTGGAACTGCTTTCCTAGGTAGATTATGCTGATGAGCTAGGAAGCACTGGGTGCCAAGGACATAGACAATTTTTTCCAAAAGTGTAGGGTAGTGTAGTTCCGTGGATCCCCTTTCCTGTTTTGCCAAAGTCTAGTGTAGTTTATTCATTTGCCTATATTGTTTTCTTTTAACTTACCTTTAATTTGTGATTCTTGTTGATAATACAATTGGATAACTATATTCATTTATTTATTTATCAACATACATTTGTTGAGTGCTTATTATATGCCAAACACCATTCTAGAGACAGGGATAGTAGGGAGTGAAACAGATAAACCCCTGCCCTCATGGAGGTTACCTTTTAGCAGCTCTAACTTGGGGTTGCCTTTGTGGAATTTGATAGTTTTCAAACTGGAGTTTTTATTCCTCATGACCAATGCCTCCCTACTCCAATCCATGTATTTTATTGTTACCAAATTTGCTGTATAAAAGTAGAAAATGTATGATGTAACTCTCCATCTAAAAAAAAATCAATTAACAGCTTCATATTGCCTTACAAATCAAATCTTTATTCCTCACTATGGCGTTCAAGTTGATTTGATGCTGAATTACTTGTTTGGGATCTGCCCCAAATTAGGGATCTGTATGCTTTCTAAGAAGTCTTATGCTTTCTTTTTTGTTGCAAAATGGACATTTCAGGACAACAAAATGTAGGCTTGTTATAGAAATTCGCCCTATGTTCATTCTCCATACAATAAATACTCAAAAGATCCTGGCTATTCCCTATGCTACTTTCAGTCCTTTGCTAGAAGTCGCCTCCCCTGTAATGCTGAATTCTAATTGTTTGCTCTGGTTGTGGACCTATACAGAACACGTGTGGAGTTGTTGAAGGAAAGCACCACTCTGTGATGGATTTCCAGGCCCTCTGCTCTAGCACCTGAAAGGGGCTCCTGGTTCTTTTTCATTACTTTTTCTATTGAAAGCAGCTGATTCCCTAAACAATCGTTGTAGCTATTACATGTGCTTTCATTTTTTCTCTAGGCCAGAAATGTGGATATTTTTAATGAAAAGAAAGCAGTGACCTTTTGGCATATTTTACTGTAATAGAGTCTACGTAGGAAACAGAAGGTGCACTAAAAATGATTTAACTGAAAAGAATGTAATGAAGAGACTTTTTGCAGAGATACTGAGTTAAGAGAACGAGGGAGGCTGGGTGCAGTGGCTCATGCCTGTAATCCCAGCACTTTGGGAGGCCGAGATTGGTGGATCACTTGAGGCCAGGAGTTCAAGACCAGCCTGGTCAACATGGCAAAACCGTGTATCTACTAAAAATACAAAAAATCAGTTGGGCGTGGTGGTGTATGCCTGTAATCCCAGCTACTGGGGAGGCTGGGGCATAAAAATCGCTTGAACCTGGGAGGCAGAAGTTGCAATAAGCCAAGATCCTGTTGCTGTACTCTTGCCTGGGGAACAGAATAAGACTTTGTCCAAAAAAAAAAAGAAAAAAAGAAAAAAAGGAACCAGGGGACAGCATTATACTCTAGGCTGAAGGGGAACTGGAAAGAAATCATATTACTAGAGACCCATGAGAGCTGAAGCCATAGAAAAGAGGCTCCAGACAGGCCTTGCAGTCATAGAGGGACAGGATTGTGGCCAAAAATGTGGCTTAAAAAAAAGAAGAACAGTCTGATTTTTCTCTCCTCCCTTCTTTTGATTTTCTGCCAGCACTTCCCATTGGTCAATTCCAACAGGAAGCCACAGGTCAAGGGGGCCTAGTGATTGATCTACAGGTGTCAGCATTCAAGGGCATGGCTTGGGAGAGAAGTAAAAACAACAGATTTGGGGAGGAAAACCGAAAATACTGCTATTATAAATATTCTCTATGACCACAGGAAGTTAAAAAAAAATACTAGATTGCAGGACAATTACAAGTAAAAAATCTCCATAAACGTACCTTTCTAATACCACTACCGTCTTATTCCCATATTTAACTTACTGAGTGTTATCTCTGCCTAGCCCTGGGGTGGGTAAACTTTTTCTGTAAAGCATATTTTAGACTTTGAGGCTTAAGAGGCAAGGTTGAAAATATGATGTCCTATTTATATAATGATTTAAAATGTAATTATTTGAACACATAAAAAGCAGTCATTCAAATTCAGTGGGCTGGATTGGCCTGCGGACTGTACTTTGCTACCCTCTGGCCTTGAAAGTCTTCTAAATTTTTGCTAGCCTAAAATCCAACTGCTTTTCAATGTCAAGTTCAAATAAAACCTTCCTGGCCAGGCACGGTGGCTCATACCTGTAATACTATTGCTTTGGGAGGCTGAGGCAGGCGAATCATGAGGCTGAGAGATCGAGACTATCCTGGCCAACATGGTGAAACCTCGTCTCTACTAAAAATACAAAAATTAGCTGGGAGTGGTGGTGCACGCCTGTAGTCCCAGCTCCTCGGGAGGCTGAGGCAGGAGAAATCGCTTGAACCAGGGAAGCAGAAGTTGCAGGGAGGCGAGATCCAGCCAGAGTAAGACTCTGTTTTTTTTTAAAAAACCGAAAAACCAAAAAACAAAAAAACACAAATCTCCCCTATGTGGCCTCTACTGGGACTCTGAGTTGTGAGTGACAGAAAATCAACTATTACTAACTTAAGCAAAACAGGATGAATTGAGAGTTTGCTGGTTGTAGATCCCAGAACCCAGGAGCTGCGGAAATGCCAGCGTTCTGGGGATATCCTGCTTTCCTATTGTGGTAACATCAGAACATGACCTCTTCATCTCCCTTTCTCTTCTCTTTGCTTGTCTTCAGTTTGGTTTCATCATCTACTAGAGGCAGATCTTTTCTTTTCCACAGGAAATAGAATGTGTATCTCCTTATGTACTAAGCCCAGGAAAGTATTTTGTTTAACCTGTCTGGGTCACCCAGCCACCCTCTGATGAACCCGTGTCGGTGGAGGAAAGGGGTAGACTGATGTGGCAGTATTGAGGTTCAGACATGGCACACGTTGGGAGAAGCTCACCTCTGAAGAGAGGGGAAAGAGGCAATTTCCCAACAGGAGGGTGCATTCTGTTGCCAGGAGATGAGACAGGAGACGTTGTCTGTTTTAGAGAGGTAGAAATGTTACAGTTATAGTCCAATGTGTGCAGCGCTGTAACAGAGATAAGTCTGACGCCTCTTTATCACCCCCAGTAACTAACATCACGCTTGCTAGACACATTCATGCGATTTTGATGAATGAATGACTCAGTTCTCCCAGCTGATTGTGAACACACTCTACTCCCAACTGGCCCGGAATTTTATCAGCTGCTCTTTGTAGGTTGTATTCGGGGTTTATGGCCATCTATGATCTGTCCTCTAATTTCTGGTGCAACAAGAGTGTATGAGACAGAGGCAGTCGTGCAGTGAACACCCTGTGTAAATCTCCATCCCAGAACCAGACCACATAATGCTGACGACACCAATCACTGGAACGGTTATGTTTTGGGTGACCGGCGTGGCCCCTTTGTTGAGGCCTCTAGGATACAAAGCCCCCACCTAAAGACTCGACCCCCCCCTCGGGAGGGAGGCAGGGCCCGGGGGCGGGAGCACAGCGGGGCCCCAGCCTCAGGCGCGTCACTGAGCACAAAGGAGACAGCAGGGAGGCGGCGGCGGGCGCTGATCCTCGCTCGCCAGCCACTCGCGATTGCGGTTACAGACCTGCAGCGCCCCCTCCCCCGCCCGCCGGCCTTTCTGTCTCCTCTCTCCCTCCGTACTGGACGGTCCCGCTGCATTTCCGGGCTCCGGATATTTGGTGTCGATTGGGGCTGGGGGCGCGGAGCAGGTGGCCGCGGCGGGGCGGCGGGGCCGCCAGCCGGGTGCGTCGGGGTCCGTCTCCCGCTGCTTTGGTCACCAGCCCCCGCCCGCCCGCGCGCCCCGCTCCGTTCTCCGGCCTCCGAGCGCTTCCCGCCGGACTTTGCGCCGCGTCGGGCGCTACTGCTGCGCTCGGGGCCCCGCTCGGCGCCGGCGTGAAAGGCGCGACCGGGACCCCGGCCCAATATGGCTGAAGTCAGCATCGACCAGTCGAAGCTGCCTGGAGTCAAGGAAGGTGAGGGCCGCGGAGGGAGGGAGGGCGCGCGGGACCCTCCCCTCTCCCCGCCGGAGGTTCTCTCGGGGCAGGGGCGTTGCCGTGTCGGCTCCCGCGGCCGTAGCGCGGCGTCTGCCTTGCGTTGGCCTTGCCTGGACGTGAGGGGACCTGAATTCAGGTTCTAGCGTGGGACCTTGGGCAAGTCACTGGCGTTTCGAGCGTTTTTTTCCTCCGGTAAGGGGGTTGGGGGAGGCCAACACCCCCCCAGCAAGTGGTTGTGCTCATGTTCTCGTGCAGGGCACGGCCCTCAGTGAGCGCTGAAGAGCTGGGTCAGGCTGACAACTGTGCTTAGAAATCGAGGCCCGGCCTGGCTGGCTGGAAGGCTGGGAAGTGGGGAGGGGTTGACGTTTAGTTCCGTGTGGAGCCTTTGTTTTGAAACCTGACTCTGCTTCCTTCTCTCCCTACTTTTCCTAGGCCCGCGGCTGGCTGGCTGGCTGACTTTCCCACCTTCCTCACAGTTTAAAAGTTTAGTCTTGGCTGTGCTCTGCGCGGGCGGGAAGCCACTATAAGCATTTTCTTTAAAAAAAAAAAAAAAAAAGTGAGCGAGGGAGCGGGGGACTGATGACCTTGTCATTGCTCTTTATACCAATGTCCAGGAAAATAGAGATTGATTAGTACTGACCTGGCAGTAGCTGACATCAAGTAGCGTTTTGACTTCCCTTCCCTGTTCTTCCCGAGGTGCCTCAGGACCTAGCGTTTTTTTTTTTTTTTTTTCCTTCCCTGAGATCTTAGGTGCTGGATCGCCTTATGCCTTGAGTTATCTTTGTTTATTCTTAGGTCCTAGGAAGAAGAGAAGTTCCAGAGTGCTACTGCAGGCCCATAAGTTCCAAGGGCTTGTAAAGTCGGCTTTTCTTGTGGATGTCATTTATTTCAACTAAATACTGTAGCCTGAGGTGTGTTGTAGATGTGGAATTGAAAATAATTTTTGCTTTCTTGGAACCGCTTTTTTTTTTTTTTTTTTGCCACCTTAATCGACTCAGTTTTTTGGGTGCTCAGGCCAGCCCAGAAATCTCAAGAAAATTAGGGACTGTTTGGTTGCTTTCCCAGAGTTTCAAGCAGTAGGAGATTAGTGACTAGTGGGCACTGATTTCATGTAGAATTTCTAATGGGCTTAGTTCTGTCTTATTGTTCCAGAAGGGTGTTAAAGCTTAGTCGTGGGATCTTAGCGTTAGTATTTTTCTGCCTTTCTGTTCCTGGTATGGCTTTGATGAACACTTAGGGCTTTCACCTGTAGAGAAGTTTTCACTCTGCTGTCAAGACTAAAGAGCCTGAGTGATAGAAAAGGCAGATCAATACTTTGAAAGTTCTCGTTTTAGAGATTGTCTGGTTATCCTTAACTTTTGGATGTGAGGGTTTTTTTGTGTGCATATGTGTTGGTTTTGTCTCTAGAGAAAGAGTGATCCTTGTGCATTGTGTAGTGGCACTTTGAGGGTGCATGGTGAATAGAATGAGAGTTGGAGTTCACATAAAACCTGGCATGTATAGTATTGATCATACACTGCTTGTGGTTTTATCCAGTCCCCTATTCATGCGAATGACCTGGAAAAAACGTAAAACTCTTTATGTACATTTATATTACCCTTAGGTCTTCTGATTTCTTACCAAGACATGAATGACTTGTTCTAACATACTATTTCTCAAGGAGTTCCACAAACACCTTCCATCTAAAAATGGAAAAATTTTTCCATTTCCACACTCTAGAGTCTAATACATTTAAATTAGCTTTCATTTTGCATAATATGGTGTCTGGCGATGGCTTTTATGTAATCTGGTAAATTGGTGAGGAAATTCGGTGTGGCTCTTTCATTAAGTTAGAATTAACTATTTATTAACTTTGAAGGTGGTCAGGAATTGATGAGAAGATCACTGTCTGTAAACAGCCGACTTTTCTGGTTCCAAGATTATCAAAGGAAATGATGTATTATGCTCGGAGTGTCCTACTAATGGTGGTGAAGTTTTTGATCTGGGAAGTATTCAAGTCTAATAAAGTATCTTTCCCTAATATAACTCTTAATTATGGCCCAGTTACTCCCTAACAGTGTCTTTATCCTAATTAAAGAGAAAGAAGCTGGTGCCCCGATAGGGCAAAACATGCGCAAACTGTGAGACTGTGGTAATACTGAAACTCCAACTTTATGTGAGAAGGGTTAGTAGTAGTAATTAGTTTAATATTCTGATGCAGATTTTTGAATCACATTCAAAAAAATCCCTGTGTCTGTTTACTTCTCTTTTTAATTTAAACCTTTGGTAGATTTATGTACAATTACAATTTATATTCAACTTGGTATCATGGGGTAGATTCCAATAGAGATTAAGAATAATAGTGTAGTGAATGTGTGCGCCTTTCCACTGCTGTTTCTTTAGGAGGGGATGGGGCACCCTGGGACCTTTTGTCATCAACGTTTCAGTAGAGGTCATGGGCAGCAGCTGACATTAGGGTTAAGGGGATATTTAAAAATCCTTTTTTCTAGGTTGAAATCTAATGCTTGCTTACTTAGTTTTTAAGGAAGTCAAAAATATTCATCATTTGGACAGATCTTTTGAAAAAGCACACATATCTATGGTAGTATTTATACTTTGGTAAATCTCTTAAACTGGGAGACAAAGTGAAATGATTGAGTTGAAATGTAGGTGGTTAAGTCAACTAAGTGTCAACACATCATTTTTTTCTGGTTAAAAGGGTGTTTGGAACATCTACCTACTTTTTGTAATGGAAAACACTGTTGCCAATATTTAGGAATAATACTCTGTTTCTTCTGAAACATTTGAGGTTCTAGATTTGAAATAATTTCCAGCCATTTTAAACTAAAGTAGATCTATGACTGAAATGCAAAATGCAATTTGTGAATATTAGGCAAAGGAATAGGCATGTTTCAGTAATATTCTGAAAGTTTATTTGAGTTCAGATCTGAAAACATTTTCTAAAAATGAACACTTTAAGTTGACAAACTGACATATTTTGGGGTCAATTTTAGCTTCTTGATTGAATTTTTCTTTTCGGAACCAGCAGTCATGATGCCCTACTTTCCTTTTGCTCTCCAAGTTTCTGTATTGCTGATTAATTTGTATTGTCCGCTTACTGTAATTCTGCCATTTACCCCTCTCTAACCAAGGGGTTTATCAAAGCCTTTCTAAACCTTTTGGCGTTTTATCAACTTCTTGGCAATTTCTGAAGCAGTAGAGTTTTATCACTTTTAGCTGTGAAATGCATGCTTTCAACCCCTCCTATTTTCTCCAAGTGTTAATCTTTGTTTTTCTTTCCTTACAGCAGTTCTTACAATCTTGTTTTTTATGTCCTATTCTTATATTCTTTAGGTGGAAAGTTCTGCTGTCTTAAAGTCGGTGAATTCTGGCGTAATTGTGTGCACGTATGTGCTTAACATCAGAAATCAGTTTACCTAGGAGTGACTTGCTACTGAGCGTACAGGTGCTATTCTGGGAGCAAATCCTTTTTCTTTCCTGAAAGATACAATTTAATACATTTTTAGAACTGTCTGTAAAAGAAAACATACCTAGAAAGCACTGATTTATTTTCGGTTCAGGACACTCTGGTGGCATAATGTGGTATATTACGTTAATGGCATAAATCCAGAACTTCAAGGGAAAGATACAAAATTATATCTGGTACAATCAATTAACCAGTAGTCCAAGAGATTTAAAGCTTGTCACATGCACACTAGGCATCTAAACAAATGGCAATGTCCATGAGAATGTACCTATTTCTGGAGAAAGGGCAAACTCGTTTTCCCTGTTTTTCAAAATTCCGTAACAGTTTTTGTTTTGGTTGCTGCTTTTTAATGAGACCCTGGCTGAATCTCTTTGAGCAAGGTGGTTTTTGTCTTAGTTATCTTGCTTTACCCTCCTTACCTGGATGAATGTCTTTTATATAGTCAGCAACTATTCAGTAAATATTTGCATTTGTGAATAAATGAATGAGTGAATGAATACCTTAATATTCTCTGTTGATTTAGGAATTTTATCTCTGGCATAATAATTTTGTATTTTTCAGAGTGTAAACTCTTAAAAGACAAAGTTAACACCTCTTAAACTATCTGTATTATTTATACCAGCATTAAATTTATAAAAACTTGGAATTTTTTTCCATTTTTTTGTAGGTGTGTCTTGTAAATAGAACTCATTCAACATAGATATGTATTACATAGAAAAATTAAAGAAAATAGTTTGTTGCTTTCTCTTCTGGCCTTGGAGATACTCATTAAGAATAGAATTTTAGTAAAAACATTTTCTAAATGTTGTTTTGTGGTTTTGATTTTTGTTTGAGTAATAAGTTTAATTTTTTTTCTAAGTGCAAAGTAGTATCACTCAATTTGGGAGCAGGAAGGAATCTTTGATATACAGACTTTAAAAAATAATAATTATCTGCTGTGTGCCACATATTGTGTTGAGGGTATTTCCACAATAAAAAAAAAAGTTTCCCATGGTACGTGAACATGATCTTTGCTGCAGTACAGAATGCATGGAGTTGTTGGAAGAACCCTCTGAATTCATTTGTGGACCAAAAATGGCTTTCACAAAAGAGAAGAAAATAGTTTATTGCCATATGTAGACATGCAATAGTTTTTTTAATGAACAAGGGAATTTTCAAATTTATGTAACTGTTACTTGTAAAATATATGTTTTTTTTAAAATAACAGGTACTTAAAGGACAACTCACACATGGGAAACCATAGTTAATTGGTGTTTTAAAAAGGGATTTCAGAGTAGAAAGCATTAAAATCTACTGTTCTAGGCCAACATCTTTATTTTTCAGATGAAAATCCAAGAGTCAGGAAGGGCAAGTGAGTTGTATTAAACCACTGAGGCTGAGTAGCTAGGAATTGGCACATTGGGGCCTACAGTTAGAAAAGTTTAGAACTGTGAGTAGTTACAACTAGAGTTAGAGTTATATACTCTATATATAACTAGAGTAGTTGTAACACAGGTTATTCTTCCCTCCTTTC